CAACATTTTTTTCTTCCTTATAAAATTAGGGTATTTTTCCTATAATATGTCTTACCTCAAAGACAAAAAAAAAAAAAAAACAAAATTTAAACTTTTAGATCTCAAGTTTAAGTTTTATTAAGTATAGGTTTTTCGTATAATTATATATTAATTTTTTAGTTATTGGTTTGAGTTGTTTATTATTTTTTATATTAAAAATTATTTAATTATGATTATGATTTCTATTTATACCTCTAGTTTCATAAAAGAAATAGTACTTTTATTCCGAAACATTGCCCTTAATAATGGATGCACGTGTCACCATTTAGAAAGCCGAGTTCACACGTGTATATCCACTTTGTAAAATTTGCAAGTCACTTGTATTTTTAATTTTGTGACAGATTATTAACCTCAAATATCATCAGATTGCAGTTTGCCCTAAAGTCACACATGTGGATCCAATTCACTTGGCACTTTCACACGTGTATTTCTTTGTCACACTCCTTTAAGAAAAGAAAAAAGCATTTGATCCCCTTTGTCCCTTAGCATGAGCTTGGATCTTGTGTAATTTATTTATTTTTTTTTAAACCTTATTTTTTAAGTAACAAAAGCATGAGCCACTTGTCGTGTGACACTTCCACAATTATTTTTATTATTTTAATTAATAAAATTTAAAGAATCATGTAAGGCTGAGGTCAAAATAAATCCAAATTCCAATAAAAAATAAAATAAATTCTTGGGACTTTCTTTAAAAATTATTATTATTTTTTGGATACATAGATAAGATTACGAGAAAGCGTAACAAAGTTTGATTGCCTTTAAAAAGTTATAAATTATTATTATATTCGAGAAAATATTAATAAAAAATAAGAAAGAGGAAGGGGGAGGGGCAGGGAGAGAAACATGCAAAGCTATGTAAAGGTAGCGGTATGATTCTACACGCTTTGTCCTAGTTTGTGGACTTGTCCTCGTATATTTTTTTCTTTATTATAAAATCGTACCGTCAAAAATTCATAAAGTTTTAATGTAAATAATAATTTATTTTAATTTTGTCGATATATTAATTTAGTGATAAGAAAAAAAAATTAAATTATGAGATTTTAAACTAAAATGGGTTTCATTTAATTTTACATTAAAATTTTTAATTATGTTTTTAATTTGATTTATTATTCACTAATTTTTATATATAAATGTAATATTAAATTATAATTATATCTTAAACTTGTAATTTCATAAAAATAATTTATCTTAATTTTAGCAATCCAAAAGTTTCGAACCAATCAAAAATGCATTTTTTTTGATAAATTTTATATAAAAATAATAAAATATCAATATATTTAAACTAATTTAAAATTAAAACTAAAAGCATTATAAATTATTTGTTTTACAAAAAAATTCGAATCCTTTTTGGGAAAAAGGTTATATGTGTTTACTATTTAAATGGAAACTAAAAATATTAACAAAAATCATTTTGATATTGTAATTCTTTATACTTATCTAGCTTTAATACTAATCTCTATATCAATAAAACAAAACTAATCTTTATATTTTCATTATTATTTATTAAATTCTAATTAAAATTTATATAAATCAAATATTTTTTTACAAAGAATTTTGTAATTTGAGAATAAAAAAGAGATTATTTGTGTTAAATTTGAATTTTAAATTTGTTAAATATTAACTATTAAAAGTTATTATAGTAATCGACTTGATTAAAATTTAAATTTTAGAATGCTGTCCTATTACTATTAGAAATGAATATTTTAAAAAATATTATATATTTTGTTTATAATATACAAGTATATAGATCTATTTTAAATTTTTAATAAACCATATAGTAACAATTTATAATAAAACATACGATGAGGTACTATAAATTTTTTATTCTTTCTTCCTTGATGTAGTATGATTTTTAAAACCAAATAATTGTAGACAATCATGGAAATTTTGTAAACTTTCTTTATTTACCTTTGCTCTTAAAGAGTATATCATCTATAATAATTATATTATAATTAATCAATTAATTTTTTTTAATTAGTGATAAGGAATTTTTTAGTTTCGCCCATTACATTTTTTTTTTCACATCTATACTTTTATAATAATTAAAAAATTAAAAAATTATAATAAAAAAATTGTAGATAAATACTCCCTTTCGTTTGTGTTAAAAACCCGGCATAGTTTCTTTGCTTGCAAGTAGGCTTAGCCCACAAAAGAAAAAACATCAGTTAATGTGGGAAAATGGAAATAAATTGGTAAAATCTGTTTGAAGATAGTATTAAAATACTATCCTACGTGACGTCTTAATAATTAATTAATGGTAGATGGTGATTCCAGCAAGAATGAAACTAGAGATAGGCCACAATGTGATTAATCATTATATTATTTATATAATAAAAAAGGTCAAAAAGATTAGTTTAATTAATTAGAAGAACACTAACAACTAATGGGCGAGAATGGGGTGGGGTGGATAGTAGATATTTGTTGTTCGTTGACGGCTAGGGTTAAAGCATACGGTCAGAAGCTCTGCCAGGTAATCATGTGACGTAGCAGACTGATGCGCACGTGGCACAACTTCGAGATTTCAAGATAGCGAGGGAATGAAAGCACTCACAAATAGACAAAAGGTGTAGAAAGGGATCCATTATGGTGGGCCAACCATTTTCTTGGTGTGTCCCATATTCTGACCTGTCCACAATGTATCACAAAAATTAATTTCTTTATTTTTAATTTTCTTGCTCATAGGTCATGATACAATGACATCCTAGTGCAAGGAACCCGTAACCACTCAAAAAACTCGCAAGCGGAAAAAATGAATAAATAAAAAAACGATGACCAAAAGCGTTTGTCCATCTGCCACGTCATTAATTGTGTGAAACACCTATCCTTTCTCCCCCTTTATTTTTACGTCTTATTATCCAAAGATATTTTATTTTCCGGTAGCGGAACGGTACCCAAAAACAAGATCAGAGAGACAAATAATAGGGGAAGGTAAGCCACGTGTCGAGTATATAATATGACACGTAATGATAGCGATATTCCCACGTCGGATTGCTTTAGTATAAAATTTTCTCTCTTTTATACTACGTGTAAAATGTGACGATTTCCACCCGAAGCGCGTGGCGCAAAAGCGTCAAAGGCTCGGCGCATTTATTTCGTTTTTTTAACTGCTCCGTGAAAATTTTACCGAGCGAGTACGTTTCCGGTTTCATTTTTTAATATTTGGGAATGGGGGCCTGTTACACATCGTCATCACAAGCTGCCGCATTTTTCGAACCTGATTGGGGCCCACATTCTCTGAAGGTCCGTGACTCGAGTTACCTCTCTGATATCTCAGCCGTCGAATCTATCCATCAAACGGTCCCAATTAGGCACTCTGGTCCACAACCACGAACCTCACTGCTTCGGTGCCAGCTAGGACGTCCTTGTTCGTTGAGAATCTGGCTACGGGTGTTTTCTTTAAGAAGGATTATAAGCCACGTCAGATCGTAATCCAAGGGCTATCGAAGTTGCTTTTACCGGTTACATCCAATCTGGTCCATCATTTGCATATTTGGATGTTTTGAAGTGGGCCCATTTTAGTCAATTTCAGAATAGCATATTTTATAAATAATTATTATAATAATTAATTAATAATAGATTAAAATAATATGATATCTATTAAATTTTATGTGAAATTTATATTTATAAATAATAAATTCATATATAATTTTTATTATAATTAAATAATTATAATTTTATAATAAAAATTGTGGGTAACAAATTCTCTAATTTTAAGCAACAAAAAGTAAAAAAAAATACTAAATTCGATTAGCAATAATTATTAAATAAACTATATTATATAAAAATTTGATCATTAGTACATGATCAAAGAGGTATCATGTGGTAGTTAGTTATTTTCCTTTATTGATTTTTTAGCTTTTTAATTTTTTAGTTTTCAGTTGTTTTTAATATTTTTAATATTTAATAAATATTTTGTTAAAAAAATTATTTTTAAAAGTGAGACTCACTTTATATAAAGTTTTTTCTTAGTTTTTTTCTTAAGATTTTAAATTTATTTTTTAGAACTTTATTTGATATTAAAGTATATCGCAATGATTATTTATTATTTTTATATATTTAATAAATATTTTTTTTGATTTTAAATTTTTTTATCTCATCAATTTGATATAAAAAATATGTTATGCGTCAGTTATTTTTTATTTTTATTTTTAAATATTTATAAAATTTTTAATTATTTTATCTTGAGTCAATTGAATGGGTTTTTGATTATTTTGTCTTAAAATAATATATCTTTAAATGGGTTAAATTTTTTAAAAGAGAAACGAACTCAGATTGTAAACACATTTAAGATGTTTTTATTTTAATCTATTTTAAAATATATTTTATTATTTAATTAATTATATATATGTATTATATTAATTTAATTATTTTTATCTTAATTTAAAAAATTTAATATTTTAAGCTAAATATGAAATATCTATATGACACATTTTATGAGCTCATCTTTTTACATTTTTCTCATTTTATTGATTTTTCTGTTTTTGACATTTATTTTTATTTGAAAGCTTTATGAAAAAAAAAAAAGGCAATTAAGATATACATGTGTCATTCTCATTTGGTTTTAATTTTAATCTTATTTTTTATTTTTTAATTAAATAAATTTTACAAAAAAATACCATAAATTTTTTACTCACTGCAACGGACGAATATTTTTCTAGTACAATTTAAAACGTGGAACCGAAATAATGAATTTGACCGGTTGGAACGATAATTTTGCGGTCACCCAGATTCCTTGTGATGGTCATGTTACTTTTGCCAAGGTCTTTGCAACCGGTAATAGCCGGTCACGACATCTCTTTGCGAAATTAAAGAGCCTCTCCCACAGTTGATTGTGATTCGCGGGCAACAGTCCCTAACTCCCCTAACCCTAATGCTATCGTTCCTTTTTTTTTTCAATATTTTAGTTTTATTTTAAATTATTACAAAATTAATTATTTATAGCCGGTGGTGAGTGAAATGAAACTACGGAAGCTTGGGGGATGAAAATAAGTGATGTTGACAGGTGGCGATAGATTCAGAAAAGGTTAAGAGCTTGTAGAGACCATTAATCCAACAGTCCAGATGCTGCCATGTCGGTTTAAGCCAATAAAAACCGTTGGATTTGTCGTGCAATCAACGGTTAAGATTTGAGCATTTATTGCAGTCTTGGATCGTGGCCGTCCATTGGGGTTTGGAGTGGGTTTCGTTGAGAGCGAAATATCGAAAAGAAGATGAGATATTGAGATTAGAACACAAAAGGAGGAAAGAGGCAGAAGGAGTAGAGAGAGAGAGAGAGAGAGAGAGAGAGAGAAATAAGAGGAGCTAAGGCCTTTGAAGTCTGACGGATTGCTTCAACACAAGATCTTTGAACACTATTAAAATCGGTTTTCTCGCCGGAGAGAGTGACCGGAGCTCATTCACCGGCGAGTATGGTAGATTTCAGGCTATTGACTGATGAGTGATGCGATTAGTCTCGTTTCTATAACAACTAATTTATTACCAGCAAAACAAGTAATTTACGGAGATGGATAGAACCAGGGAAGCGAGGAGAGTCACTATGGCGGCCTCCGCCGCCACAAATGGCCTTTCACGGCGGCGGCATAGAAGTAGCTCTCTTAGAGACTCCCCAGGTTTTAAAATCAGATCTGGCTTTTATTGTTTCTTTTCTTCTGTAACGGTGTCGTGTTAGTGAATTTTCTAGTATGTTTTCTTTTGTTTGGTGCAGATGATGATGGGCCGGTGGAGTTACAGGAAACGGCGCGTTTAAGGGATAGAAAGAAGGATGGAGATGGAGAAAGGGAACGAGAACGAGAAAGAGATAGAGAGCGAGACCGGGAACGAGAGAGAGAAAGGGAAAGAGATCGCTTGAGTAGAACGAGTAAGAGAAGAAGAGGCGATAGATTACTGATTAACAGAGGAGATGGAGGCGATGATAGTTCTGAAGAAAGCGTAAACGATGACGAAGATGATGAGGACGAAGATGGTGGCGGAACCGCTGGTGGAAGTTCTGTTCGGATTCTTCCGCCGAACAACACCACGGGGTCTTTGTCGATGTCAAATCATCATCATCACCATCAACAGCAGCAGCATCAACATCGGAAGAGCTTTCCACCGCCGGTGAAGGTTATGAGAACGACTCCACCGGCGGGGACGACTATGATTACCGCCACGACTACCTCGTCTACGTGGAAGGCCGCCGATGAGATGATTGGCGTGTCGGTTCCTAGAAAAGCTCGGTCAGGTAGAGAGGTGGAAGAGATTAACAAAATTCTGTCTGTTTATGTTGGCAAGACTTCTTCTTTTGAATTCACTGATTTGTTGGATTTATTTCCTTTGACAGCTTCTACTAAAAGATTTCACGAATGGACATCAAGTGGCGGCGGTATTGGTGGAGAACAAATTCACCGGCAAGCTTCAACTTCGCCGGTGAGGACAGGTGTTGCTGGGATGTTAACTTCACCGTCTCCGGCTCCAACCTCTCCATCTTCTTCCAATGCTTCTATGAGGAAGAAGATGGTCAGTTTCTAATTAGAATCTTTCTTTATTCTTTTGTTTTGTGGGGCTTCGTTTATGTTCAATTTAGTGACAAAGGTTTGGTTTCTGATGCAGAAGCCTAACGGACCAAAACAAAGGCCACCGAAATCGTCGTCCAAATCTTCATCTTCAGCTCAGGAAGAGATTGAGATCGAGATTGCAGAGGTTTTATATGGTTTGCAGAGGCAGCCACAAGTCCCATCTAAGCTAGATATAATTGGAAATGATTCGGTCAAGTTTGATTCAAGAGAAGTTAATAAACCCAATAGTGATGCTAAATCAAGAGTCTCTTCACCGATCTCCAACTCCCCATCAACTCTTCCTCAATCTTCTTCCATTTTGCCTTCAAATGCTAACTCCTCTGCTACACCTATTTCTACAATTCGTTAGTAACTTTCAGCTTACGAGGAAAGACGAGCTCTTGCTGTTTTGAGCAATTCGATTTTGATTTGGGTATTGTTTTGTTTTTGCAGCTCCAAAGAGGAAAAGACCGAGACCGGTGAAGTATGAGGATGAGACAACGACGACAGCACAGCCTCCTATTTTTCCTGTTAGGAACAGTTCCATTTCATCTACTACAACTAAGGTTGAAATTGGTCAACCAGATAAAATTGAAGCTACTTCTCCCAATTTGGAGAAGAATTCAGGAACCATGGCTGAAAATGGTAGTTGTTCTTATGATTTGTTGAATTCTTCACAAGCTGGACCAGCTTCATCAGAGCTGGTTCAGGCTGAACCAGTGAAGGAAGAGAAGAACAATTTGGTAGCAGATTCTAAGCCTTTGACCGAAGAACATGAGAATAGAGATATCGGCATATGTAAAAAGGAAGAGTCTCAATCGCCAAAGAAGGAATCTTCACCTTCTCCTGCTAATGAGAATTTGACAGTGACAAAAGCGTGGGCATTATTTCCTTTTACTCATTTCTTCTTTTGGGGTTTTAATTCTGGAAGGTTTGAAAATTTGTCCTAAATGGAGGATTTTGGTGTTTCAGGAATTCAACAGTGTGTGAGATTGAGAGCCAGCGGGAAGAGAAGTTCCAGATAGATCTGATGGTGTGGATCCTGTTTTTGTTAAAAGATTCTCCTTTTTATTTCTCGACTATGGAATTCTAAGATGTTTCTCCCTTTTATTTTGGTTTTAGGCTCCTCCATCTAGATCATCTCCAGAAAGGGATGGTGAGATTGATTTTGGGGCTTCGGATCCTAAACCAGTGACCACAGATATGGAATTGGTGAGTCACCTAGATGTCACCTATCTTTTACTATGATGTTGTGTCATAAATTAATGGTTTTTTATCTGTTTCCATGTGCAGGAAATGAAGTCTACGGTAAAGGAAGGTGATAAAGGAGTGAAAATCGGAAAGGAAGATGTGAATGTGGAAGGTGAGGATAATAATAAGGTCAAACCGATTGCTGAAGAAGATGAATCACTTAAACCAGTTGTAAATAAAGAAAGGAATATTGATCTTCAGCTTGATTTGGAGAGATCTGATAGAGATTGTGGCACAGCTAGTGTTAATGCCAACAAGCTCAACCACCATGTTCAAATGCTGCAGCAGCATCAACATCCCAGTACGGAGAAAACTGGTAAAATAATCCATCTTTTTTCTCCCTGGGAAAATTTCACCTCTCCTTGTTTCGCTGATCTGGAGATTTGCTTTGCCTTCTACAGTACAATCTGGGTCTTTACCTTTGCCGATGTCAATGGCTAGCTGGCCTGGTGGACTTCCTCCAATGGGGTATTGCTGGGTTGATTTGATATTGGTTTTGTGCTTTTTTGGCAGTAGCAGATCTAAACCAGTGGTTTAGATTTTATAAAGGGGGGAAATGACTTTCTCTTTTTTTTTTTTTTGAGCAGATACGTGGCTCCTCTACAAGGTGTTGTATCCAGGGATGGGAGCGCTGTATCTTCAGCAGCTATTCAGGCATGTTGCTGTATACTTTAAGTTCACACCTCTTGATTTCTTTTGCGTCTTCTTTTTGTTCTAATTTATCTTAAAATTTGGGACTTTTGCAGCCTCCACATTTGCTTTTTACTCAACCAAGACCAAATAAATGTGCAACCCATTCCTACATTGCTCGGAATATACACAATCACCATCAATTTATGAAGATGAATCCTTTCTGGCCAGCAGCACCTGGTCCAGCTTCACTTTATGGGCCGAAGGCTTGCAATCTAAATGTTGTACCCCCTTCGGAATTGCATGGGAACATTGCTGGTAGAGGTGTGAATTCTGTACAAGACAAGGGGCAGGGTCTTGCAATTTTTCCTGGTCATGTTGCCAAAGATAAAGGTTCTCAGGCTGTTGCCAACATGGTGGATGCTACACAGAGAAAGCAAATACTGCTCCAGCAAGCTCTACCCCCAGTGGCAACCAGTAATATCCTGGTATGCTCTTTCCCAAAAAACCTCTTTTTCTTTTGTAATTTTTATATAAAGTCCATGGTTGTGATAATTGCACGATTATATCTGAATGGTCTTTTTGAAATTTTACTTTTTGTGTATTTAATTTCTGCAGGGCCCCGCTTTTATTTTCCCATTGAGCCAGCAACAGGCTGCTGCTGCTGCTGCTGCATCTGTCCGACCTGGAACTGTGAAATCTCCTCCTGCTTCTGGCAACACAGCTTCATCGACTACATCTAACACTGCCTCAGTGAGTGCCTCCCTGGCTGGAGCAACTGCAGCCCCGGCAATGAGCTTCAACTACCCGAATGCACCAGGCAATGAAACGCAGTACTTGGCAATCCTGCAGAATAATGCCTATCCATTTCCGATTCCTGCACATGTTGGGGCACCACCTGCATATGGAGGGAATCCTGCTCAGCCTATGCCTTACATTCATGGATCTTTCTATCCTTCCCAAATGTTTCACCCTTCACAGCTTCAGCAGCAGCAGCAGCAGCAGCAACAGCCACCCGCACAGTTACAGCAAAGCCAACAAGGTCATCAGAGCACTAGCTTGACCAGTGGTTCATCATCTTCCCAGAAACATTTGCAAAACGAGCAGCAGAGGCCACATGGAATTGGTGTGAGTAGTGGCAGTGGAAACTTGCAAGTTTTTTCTGCCCCAAAAAACCAGTCTCATCCCTTACAGATTCAGCAACGGCAGCAACAGCCAAGTCAGCATGCTTCTCATCAAGCCCGGCAACTTGAGAGTGAATTAGGTGGCGAGGATAGCCCATCAACTGCTGATAGCCGAGTATCTTGTGCAAATATGAATATTTATGGTCAGAATTTTGCTATGCCCTTACAGCCTCCAAACTTCTCTTTGATGACTGCTGCTTCAATGGGTGGTTCCATGAGTTCTGGTGTTAACCATGGGGAAAAGAAGCAACAGATGCAGCAGCCATCACAACAGCCAGGCTCAAAGGCTCGAGTTGAGCCTCTTACATCTCAAGCTTTTGCTATGTCATTTCCCTCCATTAATGGTACTACTGCTCCTTGCCTTGATATTTCCTCTGCACAAAATCATGCAATTCTTCAGAACCTTCCGGAAAATACGAGGAAAGGCTATCAGCAGATCATGGCAGTTGCTGCGGCTGCCCAAGCATCACAACAGAAGAAGAATAGTTATCATGCTTCTGAAGAAGGGAAGCGTGGAACTAATGATGCATCAAGTGTGGAAAAAGAAAGGAAAGCCATGGCAGGAAGGAGTTCGGCAACTGAGTCCATTGCCTTCTCTAGGCCAGATCTGTCTGATTCATCTGTTTCCACTATTCCAGGCAACAATGTCATTGATAGTTCTGCCCGGACCCTTAATCATGGCTCTGCTCCTGTCAGAAGTTCAGGTTCTGTTATGCCAGCTTCAATCAATGGCGTCAATGCTCCTAATCCTAATGCTCTGCAGCAACTTCAGCAGAATCAACAACAGCAACAACTTCAGCAGAATCAACAACAGCAGCAACAGCAGATTGTTCAGCTTCAGAAGCCGCACCAATTTGGGGCTGCTTCTGCTCCTCGAAGTAAGGCACCTGCAACAAGTAATGGAAGTGCTTATTCTGATCACGTTCCTTCGTCATCTATGGCTGCCAAGTTTCCAAATGCCCTGTCTGCATTTCCTCAAAATCTAGTGCAAAGCAGCAGCAGTCCAGCTCAATCTGCTCAATGGAAGAATTCTGTGAGGACAACTACATCTCAAGTTCCTTCTCCATCTCTATCTTCAACCTCGTCATCACTCAAGAATATTTCTCAGCAGCTAGGCAGGCCACAGCAAAGCCACACACAGATTTCTTTTGCAGGTAATCCTAAATCAACTCAAGGTCAACAGCCTCTTAGTAGCACTCAATCCCCATCTCCTCCGATGGTTGTTGGCTCTCCTTCTACTTCAATCTCCAGGAGTGCTGGTGGTAGCCCAAGGACTAATGGTTCTAGTTCTAGTGGCAACAAAGGTGGCCAAGCATCTAGTTTATCATCTCAGCAGGCCAAAAACTCACCGTCAGTACCTAGTCAGAAGTCATCTCCTGTTGGTGGAAGGAGTGTGCCATCAGTCCTGGGAAACCCCCACATCAGCTCATCGTCAAATACGGGAACTAAGCCCCAAGTGGCTTTACAGCAGCAGCAACTGCATCAAAAGCATGCATTACATCAAGTGCAACTTTTCTTCTCTAATACTTTCATGCAGGCCCATGCTCAACACTCACCAAGTACAACTGCAAATGCAACAGCTGGAAGTGGTTACTATCTTCAAAGACACCGTAATGAGCAACAGCAGACACAGCCTCCAGGCTCATCAACAACTTCATCAACTTCAATGTTGTCATTGTGTTCTCCAGTTACTCTTGCCAACACTGGTACCACTGACCCTGCAAAGGCTGTTGTTGGTGCTGCTGCTGGCAATATGAAAGGAGGTGGCTTAACATCACAGGGACTTATCCATGCTGCACAATTCGCTACTACACAGTCCTCTGGAAAGCCGCATCAGCTTGTGCCAGGCTTCCCTTATGTTCATGCTGTCCCTGCTGCTGTTCAGGTAAAACCAGCAGAGCAGAAACAACCTGCTGGTGAGTAGATTTGTCCCTTTTTTGCTTCAAATTGCAACCCCCATATAGTGAACAAGAAAAAGATACAGCAATTGAAAAAAGATTTAGTTAGATCGAGGACTGAAAATTTTTGAAGGGGATGCTGGTTTGTTGCCCAGAAATGACAGCATGCTCTCTGGTAGCTCAAACAACACTTGAGAAAGTGCAAAAACGGAAGAGGATGATGGAGGCTATCATGTGGCGTAGAACTCACTCAACCCACAATTTTGCTTAAGTTTAATGCAATGGTGGGAAAATTGTTCATTGTAGATTGTGCTTGCAATGTGTATCCAACATGTTTGTACACTTATGTTTATAATCTGATTAGGTTGAACCTGAAGTCTCTAATTAAATTTGATTGGTTTGTTGGGCAGAAGATGGAAAAAGGTTGTGAAAATGTTTTGTAGGGATGGTAGGGATGTTGAAAAGTAAAGAAGAGCAACACCTACTTTTCCATCCTTTGGGGTTCTTTTTTTGCTTATTGGATTTTTGAAATCCAGAGTAGATCAGTAAACAAATCGTTTGACATAATATTATGCAACAGAAGGGGTGTATATGTATATGTCTGGCTCTTGTAAGAGTAACCCTTTCCATTTTTTATTAATCTCTTTATCTCCACTTTGATTTGGTAAGATGCCATACTTTTACTACTTAATTCATTTTATTTACAGGGAAAATGTTGTAGTTTACAGTTTTCTGGTAGTCGCAAGGAAGGTTTACGAATGACAGGTTTGGGCTGATTGTTTGTTCGTTTGGTGATAAAGATGAGGTGGATAAATTTGAGCCTGAGAGCACGCTTTAAAAGCAAAATAGTACTTGTGTTTCTGTGTGGTTTGGCATTAATTTAACGGCTAAAATTCCTCACTTTGTTGTACACTGTGCGCTGTTTATTCTTCTAAAATGTTTTTCCTTTCTCTCTCTCTATGTGTATTTTGCTTAAATATAAATATTGATCTGATTTGTTTGACCTTAAATAAAAAAAATTTATAAGAATATCTTTGCAAGATATGATTTTCAGGCTGTCAAACTTACTCTTTCCCTACTTGTTTAAAGGTGGGTCCCTTAAACCAGCGCAAATGTTGGCCAGTGGAAAGTGAAAACTTCCAGAACTCTACTCATAGACAGTGTAGGACATGTGGCTCTCTTCACACGTGTTCACATCCTTTTTATTTTTATTTTTTCTTTTAACACATTATATTATTGTTATCATTTACGAAAAAGAGAATCCTCTGTAGAACTTGCGTAGATCCAAAAATGAAAAATTTGATTTTGGTTGTTGACGTTGTCCCCACCAATAAAAGAAAAAAAATCTAATAAATCCATAATATTTAGGTCTTTCATGATGTGGGGAGTGGGGCCACTTCCCAAAAGGAAAAAAATTCGAGTGGGGTCTACTACTAAAGTAAGATGATTAACGAAACCCATCATTTGAAAATGGGGGTAATAATCGGATATATTTGCAAGTAAACATATCTTGGTTAGCACCTTTTTTTTTTTCATTATAGTAAACATAACAAAAAAAAAAACAAAACAAAAATTTTCTTCATTTCCTTCATGCCGCCTCGCTGTTTCGAGAAGGAAAAAAAATGTAAAATTTTGAAAGATTAGGTTATCAAAAAGGTTCTTAGGCATCCAAGAGAGAGAGAGAGAAAGCTATAGGTGTCCAATTTAGATTGGATTTCCTTTTTATGTTAAAAATATTAAACTAACAAGATTATCCACTCTAGTACATTATACACCGATTAATTTTATTACTCACAAGTCAAAATACCCTTACACATGTTTTTCTTCATTATTAGCAATTACTCAAAGGGGGAATTTGAAAAAGGATTTGATATAATTAAAAAAAAATTATTAAATTTTTTTTTTGACCTTAATCAATCACTAGTGTTTTGACAAGTTTAACTTTGCTCTCCCTTTTCTCATTCTTTCTACTTCATTATTTCTCTTCCACGAGAAATCCTACCCCCCGGTTATTTCTTTATTTGGATTGATAATAGATAATACTATATTTGGATAAATATTAATAAAAAAAGGAAAGGAAAGGAAAAAATGAAAAAATTTTTTTTCAAAGGAAAAGAAATGTATATGTAATCCTTATTTGGATAATTAAAATTAATAAAAAAAATTATAACAATCATTATTTGAATAAAGAGTGAAAAAAAAAGAAATAATTTATTATAATAATAATTTTTTAATTATAACATTTCATTACTTGTGATTTTAGAGTACTTTTGGATTATAATATGTTTGTTATATTGTATGGTCTCATAATTATTGCTATATTAATGATTTTTAATCAAGTGAAACAGAAAAATATTTTACAAACATGCATTGATGGATTTTGAGCTAGTCTGTCATCTCATAAATCTAAAAAATATATTTATTCATATTCAACAATTCATTAAAATCAAATCACCAAAAAATTATAAAAAAACTTTTATATTGAAAAAGATATGTGAAACTTATTTGAAAAAAAAGATGGCTTTGAAAAAATTATAGGATAATTGTGATCTGCTTAAGTTTTTTTATTAGGTTTTTAGTATTAATAAAAAGATGAACATAATAGTCTTTTTATAAAAAAAATATTTTTCAACTTTCTTTCCCTAACTTTTCCTCCAAATTAGGGTATTAAAAAAATTGAGTTTACAAGGGAAACCAAAGGTTATTTGGTTTCCTCTTATTTCTCTTTCTTTAAATTAAAAATTTATCCAAACAAGGAAAGATGAGTTTTGTTTCCTTTACATTCCTTTACTTTACTTTCCTTTCCTTCCTCTCCCCCCAATCCAAACATATTGTAAGTTGCTCGATTTCCCTCTCATCCACGAACCAAGCCTAGTTTTCAAGTGCTTTCTTTATTCTGAACCTAAAGATTGATTGTTTGATGAAACTAGTATCACTTTTCAAATTGTAGGTCTTTATGTAAGTAGGAATATGTTGCAGAGTGGAAGATTACATACAAATCCAATTCACATAGTATGCTACTAATCTTCATCCCTTTTTTCTTTTTTATTCATAACTTTTTTTGATTTTTTTTTATGTTTTTTCATCAATACTCTTGCAGGTCTGCTACAAGTTTGTATTTACATATAACATAATTCACTTGTTGACATGGTGGTGTTTTTATTTTACAACCTTCTGCCCTTGTCTTCAACATCCTTTCCTCTGTCTAAATCCCTTCCAGATCTCTTACCTATATACTTAATATAGATTATGTGGAACGATAGCAAGGGCTAACAATTGAATGGATTTAATTTCACTTGTTACAAGTGACGAGAATGATAATAAAGCTAGTGGTCCTGAAGAATGGTAGGACAATGAAACTCACAACCCAAATGTACCTATAGTGTCCTATAGAAGGGGTTTAACACCATTTGTCGAAAAGGTAACTTTATGATATTTTAATCAATTAACCAATAAACCATTACTGAGAAATTCTTCAAAATCTGTAAAATGTTAATTCTCATTGCTTAATTTTGTAAGTAGTCTACAATTAGTGGCAAGACTCTACCTACCATATATTTTGATTAATAGGAAGAGTGTAGTGTTGTTAAGGATAATAATTCAAATATCATAACAGATTTATTTGTGATTGGTTAGATATTACTTGATGGATAAAAAAACTTACAAAAAAAGAATTCTAAGAGAAAATGTATTTTAGATAGGTAAGTTAATATACTTATAAATAGGTAAAGTCTCTACAACGTTAGGTATGAGAAAAATATATAATAGAGTTATAGGGTTTTATGGGATAGACACTCTATAGGATTATAGGATATTTTTTGTATGGGTGTATATGTTTGAGTGGACTAGAGGAGAATGAGATGGTCTGCATAGGTATAGTGGTGTGAATATTTGTGAGTGGACTAAAGGAAAGTAAGAGGATTCACATAGGTATGGATGCATGAGTGTAAATAGGTATGTATTTTATTTGGGTTAAGAATACTTCATAAGACTAAAGAAGATTAAGAGGGTCTATAGGTATTAATTGTGAGTGCTTGATATGAATTGTATGCTTGTAATTCTCTACAACTAGTAGATTTTATTTCTCATATGTAGATGTAGGTCAGTTGGGTCAAACCACATTAAATTATTATCTCTTATGTGATTGATTGATGATTTGATTTTGTTTTCGTTGGCTTGGATGTTTGATTGGATTAGGGTTTTTTGCCCCACAAATGGTATCAAAGTTGAAGGTTCGAGATATGAGAAGACATAAACCTAGAGGAGCTCGATTCAATGAAGAGTTCAAGTTCATGTTTTAATGGATCTATTTGTGTGAAATGTGAAGACATACAGAGAAGATTATTACAAGACTTCTATTGAAGGTGGAGCCAAGCATGTTTAGCATAAAGACTGATGATTAATAGAATTTAGTCCATGTAGATATTGTTAAGAATAGTAACTCAAATCTCATAACAAATTTATTTGAGATTGACTAGATATTACTTGATGGATAAGAAGACTTGCAGAAAAAAAATTTTAAGAGGAAAGAGATTCTTGATAGACAAGTTCGTATGCTTATAAATAGGTGAAGTCTCTACAGGATTAGGTATAAAAAAAGATGTAAGAGAGTTGTAAGATTTTATGAGATCATCTTATAAGATTATTAAAGATTAATGTCATTATGAGTGTGTATATTTGAGTGGACTAGAAGAAAATAAGATGGTCTACATAAGTATGGTGGTGTGAATGTTTGTGAGTAGACTAGAAGAGATTGAAAAGGTCTATATAGGTATGAGTGCATAAGTGTAGATGGGTATATATTTGTTTAGATTGAGAATACTTCATAAGACTAAAAGAGATTAAGAGGGTCCATGTATATTAATTATAAGTGCTTGATATGGATTGTATGTATGTAATTCTTTACAACTAATGGATCTTATTTTTCATCATGAACGTAAGTCAATTGGGTTGAACCATTGAGCCAAATCATGTTAAATTGCTATCTCTTTTGTGATTGATTGATCATTTGACTTTGCTTTCACTGGCTTGGATATATGATTAGATGGAAGCCTTCTGTTTAACAAGTGGTATTAAAGTTGAAGGCTCAATACATGAGAAGATGCAAGCCTAGAGGAGCTCAATTCAAGAAAGAGTTCGAGTTCATGTTTTGATTGATCAGTTTGTATGAAGCATGAAGACACATAGAGAAAATTGTTACGAGACTTCCATTGTAGGTGAAGCCAAGCACATCTAGCATAAAGATTGATGAAATTTGAGTCAAGGTAGAGATTGTTAGGAATAATGACTTAAATCTCATAACAAATTTGTTTAGAATTGACTAGATATTATTTGATGGACAAGAATACTTACATAAGAAGAATTCTAAGAGGAAAGAGATTTTTGATAGGTAAATTAGTATGCTTATAAATAGGTACAGCTT